TGTGGTTTAGAGTGTTTCTCTGATCCGAGAGGTTGGGATAACATCCTGTCGGCAATAATTAGTAGCTGTGTGGCCTTGGGGGAAATGACTGAGCCTCTCTGTTCCTCAGTTTCCTCAGCGGTAAAATGGGATGAGTAACAGCAAGTATCTCACGTGATCATTTCAAGGACTAAACGGGTTATTCCAGGTAGAGGTCTGAGCAGGCTGCCTGGCAGAGAGATCTCAACCGTTCAGTTGTGGGTGACGTCATCATTTACGCCGGGAGCTGACCTTCCTGGAGAGGACACAGCCCCTGATCACATCAGGGACATGAAGAACCAAGTGGGTTCCTTTTATTGCAGGTGTGTGTTTATTGACCTTTTGCTCCCATACCCCCGTTCTGGCTGCTGAGGGGATCCTCTGTCAGGCGAGTATGTGGAACTCGTCAGGTGGTGGAGTAGCTCGTCTGGGAACCTGGAAGTAGTTGGTCTCCCAGGTTGAGGTGCTGGGGGGCAGCAGGGGAGACCCTGGGGGGAGGCCCAGCTCAGCTGCAGGAGCAACGGTTCCACGGGCTGTGCCAGAAGAGGTGAGGGTCGGAGCCCCTGCAATGTCAGCACGAGGGCACATCCTGGGCCCCGGGGGATGGAAGAGTGAACCTGGACCTGGGACCAGAGCCCCCGGAAGTGGGCATCGGGCAGCAGGGGCCCCTCCCAGCCCTGGGCCTGAGGTCCAGTGGGCTTGGTCACAGGGACAAAGCCTGCTCCTGGGCTGGCTGGTGAAGTTGAGACAGAGGGGCCCAGAGTCTGGGGCAGACTCAGCGTGTGTGGGAGGTTGGGGGACTTGGCCTCGGGGCCCAGGCAGTGGCGGGAGCATGGAGTCAGGCAGATCAGCGTGGAGACACACAGGAAAGAGTCCAGTCCAAGGAAGCTGGTTATTGCTGTTGTAGGGCTCAGAGCCTCCTTCTAACCAGGACACAGACTCCCTGGGCATGTGAAACCCCCAGCAGAGTCACTGTCACCTTCACCAGGGTGAGCAGGTGGGACCAGGCAGGGGGCTCCTCGAGGCACAGGGACCAGGCTGCCCCCAGGGAGCCGGGCACCCAGCTCCCTAGCGAGGGGACCCGCCACTCAGGGGAGAGCTCTAGGCTTGACTGGGGTTGGTGACTTTGCCCAAAAGGATGATGCTCTGGGTGTCTTTACTGAGTATGGGAAACACAAAGGGTCTGTTGAAATGCATAGTGATCACTTCTCTAGTCTTGTAGATCAAGTTGCTTCCCATGGCAGCAGCTCCTTCCATGCCCTCCTTGCCCACGTCAAGCACAGCACTGCAGACCACCGGGGGGACCCCAGAGCATTACCCACCAGAGACGAGGTGGGAGGGAGGTGAGCAGCTGCCTGAGTGCCTCTAAGGGGACGGACATTCATCCGCCTTCTGCCGCTGGCCATCACTGTGCTGTCAACCTGTTCAACTTGTTTGTCTCTCCCAACAAACCTGTCAGCTGGTTTGCATAGTCGTGATGCACAGATGTGCAAAGTGCAGTCAAAGGCTGTGAGTGCTGGGCCCAGGGTCAGAGAGGAAAAGAGCAGGGGTTCCCTGGTCTGGACCCCTCTCTGTCTGAGTCCAAAACACCCCCCATGTTAGGGGAGGGGGCAACTGTCACAGGCACAGGCAACTGTCCACAGTCCCTCCACGTCGAAGTAGCAGATGAGCGGACACTGCTTTCTGCTCCTCTCCTGCCCTAGCGCTCAGTTACTTTGCGTAGGAAATGGCTTCCCATCCCTGGACCCCGCAGGCCCCTTGGCACATACGCCTCCTTTACCAGGTCCTTTGGCAGGTGGGGTGCAGGAGAGGCTGCAGGGCTGCCCAGCCTCCCCCATTCACTCTGACTTCTCTGCTTCTAGGATCACAGTACCAGGGGCCCTGGTGTTCTTGTCCTGTGCTCTTCGTATATTTCCATCACGATGGCCCTGTAGCTGTTGTTAGTACCTATTACCTCTTACCTGCTCTGCTAGACTCTGCACATGAGCCAAGGGCTATAACGCTCCTTTTAAAGATGAAGAAAGTGAGGGGTACAGGACTTGAATTATTTATTGCATAGGCAGTAAAAGTTGGAGCATGAGACGGGGGTTCACAGCTGATTCCACCCCAGGCCCTCCCGCTAGATGGGCTTCCGTGTCACAATATGTTGCAGGGAAGGTGGGACCACCCCCAGGATGGTTGTAACCAAGCCCTTCTGAGGAGTCCAGGGAAGGTGACTGAGTAAAGAGAAATACAGTTATTTTACTCATTCAAGTTTACCCAAAACTCTGGCTGGCCTTCATCATTCAAGCTCCCATGTGGAGATGAATTGTCCAAAGTTTAAACACCCACCTGGGAAACCACCAGCGCCTCTGCATCTTTAATGTCTGACTGGCCAGCTGCCGGGGGGAAGACTTTCCCCATGCCCATCTGGGGAAGGATGTCTTGCAGATCATAATCGCTGGAGATGGAAAACTTTGGAAGGAGGGGGTGAACTCTTCTTCTAGGAAATGAGAAAAATAAACCTGAACGTCTGCTGGACTGAGAGCCTGCCTTTCTCCCATGTCTCGGCGTGGTCTTCCTTGGTTTCCTCTCCAACCACCCACTTCTTGCTGGAAATACAGGTTCTTTTCCACATTTTCTTTACCCCTCCTGCTTACTCTCCTTAAACTGTGAATTATACATTCCCATCGGCAGGAGTCTAAAATGCCAGGCAGCGCACCAGCACCACACCTGGCCCTGCTTCGCCCCTGCAAGCCTGTAGGGTGCAGGAAACACCCTAACTCCAGCAGCTGCAAGACTGTGCTGGGGCGGCTGCTCCATGGGCACCAGGAAGGCTTCCTGCAGGAGGTGGCATGGAGCCTGAGTCCCGGAGGAGTGAACGGAGCTGACTGGGTGAAGAGGAGTCCAGGAGGCAGGAGGATGCACTTGCAGGAAAGAGGGGAGAAAGAAGGGCTGCCCCACAGCACAGAGGCAGCCTGAGTGCAGGCAGTGGGGAAGGGAGGGGCCGGGAAGGGGCTTGGGTGGGACATGGAGGGCTGGGGGTTGCATTCAAGGGCCTTGGGGACCTGAATCAACCAATCCAACATCTCTATCTTGTCTTCCCAGGGAGCTCCTCGAGGGCAGGGATGCATCTGCTTCTGAGCAGAGGTGGCAGCAGGTTCTTGGAGCAACAGATGCCTCCTCTCTCTGTCTCTATTTCCCTTAAGACTCTTGTCACGGTGTCAGCTCTTACAGATGCCAAATACGAGGAGGCTGTGGCTCCCATTAAACGTTGAGCCCCTTGGGAGCAGGGGGGTACCTATTCCTCCTCATAGGCCATCTTTCCTCCCTCCCTCCCTCCCCCCTCCTTTATCCATTCATTCAACAGATTCTTAGTGAGCGCCCTCCATGGGCCAGGAACGTGTAGATGCTGGTCCCCCAGTGCTTGTAAATCAGAGATGCCTGATGAATATTCTATCCGCTGACAACTCTTCACTGAGCCCCGCCCTGTGGTAGCTCTTGGTACTGGAGGAAGGAAAGGGTAGGGAAGGGAGTAGGCGCAGGGGGAGGGTGGGTCCCGTGTCCTGGAGTCTCCTGGGATCTGCAGTGAGGAGGGGCTGAGAGTCAGGCAGCCCCAAGGTGTGCAGCCCCCTGGACAGGGGTTGGGGAAGGGACTGCAGCCTCAATGTCACGTCTAGGCAGGTCTCTCATTCCTTGTGGTTTATAACGTACTTTCCACACCCGTGACCCCTAGGATCTGCATAGCTGCCCACAACCTTCCCTATCTCCGCTGCAGCAGACACTGCGCCCAGAAGTGCCTCTCCCTCTGCTGTCCCCCTTGTTATTGGTCTCCTGTGTCTGCACTCAGCTTATCCAGAGCCCGACCCCTTCCGCCTTTCCCGGTTCCTCCTGGTGTATCCCCAGCGGCTCCCCTGGGTGAGTGCACTGGGCGCCTGGCTGGCCTCCCTGCCTCCATGCTGGTCCTCGGCTGTCTGTTCTCCACTGGACGACCTGGGTGATCCGTTTAAAACATGACTCAGATCGTTCACTCTTTGGCCCAAAACCTTGTGATGAGTCTCTATTTCCCTCAGAGGGGGGTGCGTCGAGGGGTCTGCAAGGCTCCAAGTGACCTGAATCCCCCCTGGGGTCCTGACCTCTCCCAACTTTCCCTCTCACTCCCTCTGCTCTGCTGCTCTGGCCTCACTAACCCTCAACCGCACCAGGCTCCCTCCTGTCTTACAGGTTTTGCACCGGCTGTTCCCTCAGCCAGGAATGCTTTTCCCCACCATATGCACATGGCTCAATCCCTCACCTCAAACATCACCTAAGGGCCACCCTGCTTACAATCGCAAGCTACTTGCGGGTCCCATTTTTTCATGATTTTACTGTGCTTTACTATCCCCACCTCCCCATTTCTCCCCTCTCAAAGTAGCAAATAATTTACTATATTTATTTCCTGTCTGTCTCCTCCAACTGCAAAGTAAGTGCCCGTAGGGCAGGGAATTTACTGCTTTATTCGCTGACCTACCCTCAGAGTCTAAATTAGTCCCTCAGACGTAGCTTGATCTTCATTCATTCATTCAATCAGTGCTGAATGGTTGAATGAATAAATGAGTGAATTACCGTTTAGCCCGTGCAAAGCTGATGCTCACGTCTGTCTCACCTGAGCCCCAACTGATCCCAGTCCCATCCGCCCCCCTCCACCTGCAAGAGGTGGAGCCACGGAGAGAACAGCATGAGTGTCGGGGGTTGTGTGAGGATCCTCAGGACTCAGCGCATGTCAGTGTCAGAGGAACCCTCAGCCCCGCCCCCTCTGATGTCATCATCTTAGAGAAGGAACAGCTCAGGCCCAGAGCCATGCAGGCAGCCAAGGGCAAGGTCAGCCCTGGACGGGGCCTCCACCTCTGCCCCCGCCCCTGGACATTACCTAGGCCCGGGGGCTGCGGGTCCGGAGTCCTGGAAGAGGGGGAAGGGCCGAGAAGGCAGGTGGGCCCACAGCTCCGGGTCCTGGGGACAGTCACCTGGGCTGCAGGGAGTCTCTCCACCTCCTCAGCGTCTCTGGGAGCAGCTTGGCCTCCAGGTCGTGCATTTTGCCCTCGTCAGGGAGGATGAAGGGCGCGCTGTTGTCGCTGGTGTACCTGAGCTACACCGCGGTGCAGGCAGCTCCTCGTCCCGGAAGTAAGGCGTTTCCAGGTCCCCAGTGGTCATCATGGGCACCTCCACTGTCCTGTTCTTGTTCACGTGGAACTCTGACTTATAAGTACGGCTGGGATCAAAGGGCTTCTTCCACTGGGCTAGAGGTGGAGGGACAGGTGAGGGGTCTGTGGTGCAAGGGCTGCAGGCGTCTCACTCCTCTGCCCTGGTCCCTGAGCGGGGGAGACCCTCCCCACACCAGCAGCCCCCCACGTGCCTCTAGGGATGGCCCTGCTAGGTTTGCACATATACCTGGGCAGGTGGGTAGGCCCTTGGGGACGGAGGTGAGCCCAGAGGTCTGGATTGGGAAGGGGGACATGAAACAAACCTGGTTAATTGTGCTACGTGAGAAACCTACAGGAACAGGACAGGGCAAGGGAGAGATGGGGTGAGGCTGGGACTGGGGAGAAATGGGAGCTCCTGGTCCTTAAAGGGAACAGTGTTAGTGACCAGTGGTTAGTGACTGGCTTTGCAGGGAGGACACATGTCCTCTCAGCCTTGTGAGCCAGGCTGAAGCAGGAGCCACATGGGTACCAGGAGGGCAGGGCGGGGTCAGCAGAGGAGAGGGCTGGGGTCTCCCCGCAGGATGGAGCATTCAGTGATGGGGGCTTCTTGGGGAGATTAGGGCCCTGGGGCTTCATGGAGTGTGTATCCACCCCCGCTTCCTGCTTTGTTTCCAGCCCTGCCTGTGTCCCCAGAGTTAGAGGCAGGAGCAGAGAGAACGCCAGGCTGGCTGGGGTGCCCCTGGTGGGGAGATCTGGGAGGAGAAAGTCCTAGGACAGTGCAGGGTTATAGGAGAGGAAATCACAGGAGACTCGAAGAACAATTGTAGCAGGCCTGGCCTGGATTCTTTTTCCAAAGAAATGCAATTCTGTGCCTTCATTTATAGCCGAAAACACAGACCCAGGAAGGGTAGCCCTGGGCTCTGCCAGGGGCCCCGGCACAGGGCTAACGTGTTTCCCCACAGCTAGTGTCTCTTAGGCACCTGACCACGCCCAGATTCGATGATAGTTTTTCCTGTCCTTATCTATTCTGGGTCTCTATTGCACTCCTGGCTCCATATATGAAATCTATCTGCCTTCACTCTGACCCTTATGAATTTCCAGGCTGAGGTTTGCAATATCGAGTTTCTATCAATGGGACTGGGCACCGGTCCAACTAGAATCTGGGAAAATACACTGCCCTGGATATTGTCTTCCCGCGACTTTCCCCAGATGGTGGCCTTTCCATTCCCACCCTCAAGATGATAGAAGCACACAACTGTAGAGCCTTGGGGTGTCCAGGCTGCTCAGAGGCTGTCACACCGTGAAGATGACTGCCAGCCCCACCTTAAGCCCCGGAGACCAAGACCTTTAGAGGGAGCCCAGGTCAGACACAGCCCACAGTGTGCACAGCAGAGGCCTTCCTGAGCGTGTCCGAAAGCATCTCAACAGGCAGGAACCTGGAGTTCCCGGCCCCCCCGGAGAGAGCTGAAAGAACAGCTTCTTCTTTTGGCAGCCAGGCAGGTTGAAGTCAGAAAAAAATCTCTCTCTGCCTCACACAAAGTAGCGGCTCCTCTGCACTTATGTCCTGTAAAGTGAAGTAGAATTTGGATAAAGCTAAAGTAGACGAAGCCTATGGTCGGGGCGGGGCCTTGGTGCCTAGGCTCGCTTAAGCCATGGGGAGCCCCTTCTGCAATGGTTTGCTAACAACACAGGTGGCTGAGCCAGGAGAGATATAGTCCTGGAGCCTCAGAACTAATTTCGTTTATCTTCCCAAACCCCAATCTGGCCACCCACCTTTAGAGAAGATGTAATTCACCAGCATCATCTCTGTGAGCTTGTCAAGGTGCTTGAACAACTCCACAATTTTCCCCTGCGTTTTATTCCTCACATAGTCATTGATGAGCTTCTTGGCAGTGTCGGAATCCCGGAAGTCGGTGGAGAAGGCCTCGGAGGCACACAGCGCCCGGGCATCTTCCCTGAACTTGTCCAGAAGCTTCAGCTGCTCCCTGACGAACATGGCGTTGCCCACGCTCAGCTGCAGCTGGTCGCTGGGTCGGCCGAGCGTCTGCAGGAGGTGCTGGAAGCCCTGGTGGATTTCTGTCTCGGGGTCTCTGTGAGGTTGAACTTGAGGCCTTCCAAGGTCTCCGTCAGGGTGGGTCCGCGGGCCTCCAGGGACAGGAAGGCCAAGGCCATGGAGACGCTCAGTGGGGAGAAGATGACGTTCTCATTGGAGGTCTTCAAAGCCAACTGCTTGTAGAGGCTGAAGGCAAAGTCGGTGTTGCTGGAGACGAAAGTGTGGTCGTCCACAGGCGCCCCTTTGTGTTGGTCCTCTGGGGTCACATCCTCCGGGTCAAGCCCACCCCCTGGGAGGCAGTGGACACTGGAGCAGAGCCCAGCCACCAGGAGCCCCAGAGCCAGGAGGGGGGACATTCCCTCTGCCCTCATCTCTGAAAAGCAAAGCTCCTTTAAGTCTCGGTGTGTCAGATGATGTCCCAACCGCCACCCAGTGTCCCCACGTGGTCTCTGTTCTCTCTGCCTCTGCTGCTTTGTGGCCTCCCAGTTCTAGGCACCCTCCTGGGCTCCCAACATACATGAGGAGGCTTTGGGCTCCCTCTCACCCTTTGAAGCAAGTCTTGTAATTGTTACCGATTTCCCCAATGGAGAAACTGGGCCCAGAGACGGAAAGGGGCTTTTCCAAGGTCACCCAGCAAGGAAGTAGAGGAGCAAGGGCGAGAAGCCTGGGTTGCCTGGCTCCAGGAGGGAGCTGGTGATGGGTGTGAGGTGCTTTCCAGTGAGAACCCATCCCCCTCCTGCTGGGAGAGCAGCCACCGTCAGAGGGGACTAGGCAGCAGGGGCTCCGTTTCCACTATGTCCCCTGTCTGCCCCCCAGGACGGAGCCCTGGACTGAGTCAGAGGACACAGCACCTCTCCTGGCCTCTTGATGACAAGCGTGTAGCCTTAGGGAGGCACTCACATCGTGGTGCCGGGTTGCAGTGAGGGTTCAGTGAGAGAGGCCCCCACAAGCAGCGGGGCCAGCGCTGGAGCCTAGGTGGCCCTGATCAGTGTTGCTGTAAAGATCAAAGGAGGGTAGAGTGTTCTTTTCAGCCCCTGGCAGGTGGACACATGGTGGTTGATTCCACCGTAAGCTTGGAAAAGCCTCAGTGGGGAGAAAGCCGGGTGGGCTCAGAGTCTCCGAGTCCTGGGCAAGGATTTCATTTTGGCCACTTGTGAGTGCTGTGTGTGACAAGCAAGTGACTGAGCCTCAGGTCCCATCTCTGTCCACGTTGAATGGCTCAGGTGACATGAAGTTTGAAGGTGCTGGGCTCATAAGAAGAGTTCCAACGGTGTCACCTCCACATGCCACCCTCTTTAGGACCTTACGAGCCAGAGCTGTGATCCGTGGGGACAGGAGACAGAGCTACTGCCTGGAAGCCTCCAGGAGAGACTGAGGTCTAAGCTGGTGACCTCAGCAAACAGGACTGTTTACCTCCAGCCTCTGCCCCGTCATCTCAGAGTTCAGAGGAGAAAGGGCTTCTGGGGTGGTGTGGGGGAGGGGAGGAGAAGGGAAGAGAGAGAGAAAAGGGGCAGAGGAGGGAGAAGAGAGGTGGGAGGGGTGGAGGGGCGGGAGCTGAGCTGAGTCTCATCCAGAGGCCGGTGGAGAGGCCTTCGGACAAGCCGGGGGACAGAGGTGATCAATTGTCCCAAATGTCAGTTTCCTCAGTGCTGATGCAACCGTTTCTTTCAAAAAAGAGTCAAACATTATCCCCAAAATTATTTCTGGAGGAATAGTACCTGTGTATTTGGCCTGGTTGGAGGGCTCTGTTTCTGAGCAATCTGTCTTTCCAGTGCTGGACAGACTCACCTCCTGTCTGTTTGGCTGTGGGGCCCTTCAGGGACAGTGTAGCCCAGGAAACCCCCCTGGAGACCTTGTAGCCTCTGCCCAGAGGGACCCAGGGCACTAATTCTGTCCGCCCGGCCCTGTTGAGAGCAGCACCCTGTGCCGGACAAGGAGACGCGCCTCATGGCCCTGGTGGGAGTTCTGACCCTGGCGGTGGATGCACAGCTATATGGGGTGCACAGCTGGCTCGAATCAGAATCCCACAGAGCAACTTGCCTGGTGGTCCAGTGTTTAAGACTCTGTGCTCCCAACGCAGGGGGCTGGGGTTCGATCCCCGTTCAGAAAACTAGATCCTGCATGCTGCAACTAAGAGCCCTCATGCTGCAACTAAAGGTCCTGCAAGCTGCCACGAAGATCCCGAGTGCCCCAACTAAGACCAAGTGCAGCCAATAAATAAATAAATATTAAAGAAAAGAAAAGAATCCCCCAGAGTCAAAGGCAGAAATGACCCCAGAAGCCCTGGTGGCATGTCCCTCCCTTTGCAGAATCAAAACTGAGACCCAGAGAGAAGACTGGTCTTCAGAGGGCGCAGAACCCTCCCAGCATCGTGACACAGGTCCTCCCGCCTCCCTCCTGCCTCATGTTCCACAGGCCCCATGCAGAGTACTAGAACCACCCTAAGAAAGGTTTCTCCAAATGTGGGAGCGTCACGGATTAACCGGCTGGGAGAGCGGGACGTGGGGAGTGGATCCAGAGCCGCCGCCTGCCCGGGCTGCTGGATCCTCATGGGTGCTGCTGTCTATTTATCCCGCAAAGATCTCCTCCCCTGCTTGCGCAATGTCTGCGGGGACAGCACAGTGTTCTCTCCTCAGACTGGAAATGGGCAGATGATCATTTCTGATAACAAGATTTATTAGATCTATTTGAACAACCTAGTTACAGAAACTGCTTTTGGTCCCTTAAAAAAAAAAAAAACCTAACCTAAAAATAAACAAAAAAAATTTCCCTTGAGAATGTTTTCTCCTGTTTAATAAAACTCATTGAGGAATGTGTGAAAGCTCAGAATATGGAAAAAGGGACTTTGGAAAATCCTCATGACTATTGTTCTTTTTTAGAAAAAACATCAACTCTTCTTAGTTTTTCCCCCTTTCTGTGATTTACTCATTGAGGACCATGTAAAAACCCAGAAAATGGAAAGAAGAATATTTGAAAATATTCCCCAGAATTGTATCACTCTGGGACATCCCTAGCGAACATTATCTTCTGTTTCTTTTATGTCATTTTTCTTATGTTTGTTTGCGAGTGTGTGTATATGATAGGGATCTCCAAACACAAACTCAGATATCTTTAAAATGCAAAACACCTTATATGTATATAGCTCGACTGGCATGTTGAGACACTCCCCCATTCCCAGAGTCCCGGTGTTAGCCCGAGGGCTCCCTGAGAATGTCAAAATCACGAGCGTCAAAGCACAAATATCTGGGGCATCTTGTCTCTGGCATCACCTGTCTTTGCAGTCCTGCTGTGTCTGGGCCTTTGTCCTGGGTTACCCCTTCACTCTTGGTTCACCTTAAGAGCTGGTTGTCCTTCATCCTTGAGTTTGAGGTCTCCTTACATTCTCTTTGAACTAATCCCAGGCCTTTCTTTGGCTCATGGGGAAAAACCCGTCCCTTCATGCCTTGTACTCACAACCAACCATCCGTGACAAACCATGGCAAACCTCTGTGACCCCTAGGGATTCCACCAAATCCACTGGAGACCACTGTGTTAGTGGTGAGGGTATGGCTTTGGCATGAGATAAACCTGAATCCTGAAGGTCTACTCACCAGCTGTGTGACCTCAAGACATTTAGTGGAAATCCCTCAACTGTCATCTCCTTATCTCTAAAAGCAGATAACAACATTTCCCAGTTATGTTTGTTTGCAAGTGTGTGTATACGATAGGAATCTCCAAACACAAACTCAGATAAGTTTAAAATGCAATACAGCTCAATCATAGGTATATAGCTTGACTTGCATGTTGATACACTCCCCCTTTCTTGAGAAAGGAAGCCATGTCTAAATAGACTAAGTGGGAGAGAGCTTCAAAGCAGCGGAGGAGTAAGACATGGAGATCACCTTCCTCCCCACAAATACATCAGAAATACATCTACACGTGGAATATCTCCTACAGAACACCTACTGAACGCTGGCAGAAGACCTCAGACTTCCCAAAAGGCAAGAAACTCCCCCTCGTATCTGTGTAGGGCAAAAGAAAAAAGAAAACACAGAGACAAAAGAATGGGGACTGGCCTACACCAGTGGGAGGGAGCTGTGAAGGAGGAAAGGTTTCCACACACTAGAAGCCCCTTCACAGGCAGAGACTGCAGGTGGTGGTGGGGGGAAGCTTTGGAGCCTTGGAGGAGAGCACAGCCACAGGAGTGCGGAGGGCAAAGCGGAGAGATTCCCACACAGAGGACTGGTGCCGACCAGCACTCACCAGCCCGAGAGGCTTGTCTGCTCACCCACTGGGGTGGGCGGGGCTGGGAGCTGGGGCTCAGGCTTCGGAGGTCAGATTCCCGGGAGAGGACTGAGGTTGGCTGCGTGAACACAGCCTGAAGGGGGCTAGTGCACCACAGCTAGCCAGGAGGGGGTCCAGGAAAAAGTCTGGACTTGCCTAAGAGGCAAGAGACCATTGTTTTGGGGTGCGTGAGGAGACGGGATTCCTGCTCTATGTGCCCACAGACAGCAGAGCCCCACCTAAGCAAACTCCAGAGATAGGCGCAAGCCATGGCTATCAGCTCTGACCCCAGAGACAGGCATGAACTGCTAACACTGCCACCACTGCCACCAAGAATCCTGTGTGCAAGCTCAGGTCACTATCCGTACGCCCCCTGGGAGCCAGCTACTGCCAGGTGCCTGAGACCCAGGGACAACATTCCTGGGAGAACACATGGCACACCTCAGGCTGCTGCAATGTCACGCTGGCCTCTGACGCCACAGGCTCATCCCGTATTCCAATTATGACTACCATATCCCTCCCTCTCCATAGCCTGAGTGAGCAAGGGAGCCCTAATCAGCTGCTGCTTCAACCACCTCCTGTCTAGGTGGGGAACAGACACCTGAGGGTGGCCTACACACAGAGGCGGTGGCAAAACCAAACCTGAACGCCAGGAGCTGTGCGAACAAAGAAGAGGAAGGGAAATCTCTCCCAGCAGCCCCAGGAGCAGCGGATTAAATCCCCACAATCAACTTGATAAACCTTGCATCTGTGGGATACCTGAATAGACAACAAATGTTCCTAAAATTGAGGTGGTGGACTTTGGGAGCAACTGTAGATATGGGGTTTGCTTTCTGCATCTGATTTATTTTTGGTTTTATGTTTATCTTAGCTTAGTTTTTTTGTTTTGTTTTGTTTTTATCTTTTTAATTTTTATTTATTTATTTATTTTTGGCTGTGTTGGGTCCTCATTGCTGCGCACAGGCTTTCTCTAGTTGCGGCGAGGGGGGCTACTCTTCATTGCGGTGCTCAGGCTTCTCATTGCGGTGGCTTCTCTTGTTGTGCAGCATGGGCTCTAGGCATGTGGGCTTCAGTAGTTGTGGCTCACAGGCTCAGTAGTTGTGGCTCATG